TTTGTCTTAATCAGGACGTTATTGCAGCGAAATCCTCAGTGGAAGCTGAGGATGGCGATCTCTTGGTGCTCTGGCAGCCGAGTCCTCATCGTCGTTCCACTAATTGGACCCGAGTAAGATGAATGAGAGGTTTATTCGGTATGCTAAATAGGATTCTGCAACCTGACTGCCAAGGAGAGAGCGGACGTTATTTCTCTAATGTGATTGCAGAAGGTTACAGTGAGTGTGCTACGATGCAGGAAGAAGTGGGATCGGTCAGAACTAATCTAATACGTTGTTAGCTCAGTTTTTGGATTAAAAATTTTACGTAGAAATGGACACATAGATTTCGATCATTAGTTAGTCGGATTTGAACCGACTGACAATTTGTTTTCTTTTTCATTTTAAGTATAATTTTGCAGAACCATTATAACACAATTAATTAAACATTAGGAAACTATTTATGCATATTTTACTGTCAACATAATTATTGCCTATCCATATAAACTTAGTAAAATAAAAAAAGATGTCTAAAATAATATAAAATGTTTATATTTTTCGCTGAATTTAATATTCCTGTCATGATTTCATGTCCACTATTTCTGGGACATAGGAAGAAGATAAAAGTTTTCTAAATGAGAAGGATAGATACAGCAAAAAGTTTCAGGGTACAATTATTCTAGGAGATAGAATACATTCAACGTTAATATTTCTATGTTATTACTATTACGAACAAAGTATATAATTCGTTTCAGAAAATACTACAAACGGCACAGTGAACGCCATCTGTAGCACGATGCTACTTTTTAGGATTACGTATTGTGTAGAATACAGACCACTTCGAATTATTTTAAAGTATATAATGCTTTTTATAACAAAAGGAAAGGACTGAGGATGATTTTAAATGATAGTTTTGTACATTATAAAGATCTTACTGATATTATTGCTACAAATTTTAACTCAAATTAAGAAGTAGGAATCAAATCGTGTTGCGTAACTCAAATGATGTAGCCTATTTTTAATATACAATATGTATGTCTTCGGTATCATATCAGCCGTATTTGTATGTTTTAATAGGCAGTATGAAGCGGTCCACGTGGACTGTCAGTTGGCCATGACAGGTTTTCACATGCAGATTTAATTAGTGTCCGCATTACACATGCCTGGATTGGTTGTAATAACCAGCGTCCGGTAGCGCTAAATATATACGTAGATATACGCATGTTGACTTAAACTACCCTCTGCTCGACTTGACAGGTAATTGGATATTTAATTGGGTCGACGTTTAAGACTGTGACTTTAATGCAACTGGAAGGCAAACAGAGTCCAGAAGTTGTCTTTTAATACTACATAACGTCAAAGCTTATAGTTGAGGGATTTGTTGAATATTCATATATACATTTAAACTCTATATAACGACACTTAAGGAACTGAACATTTTTCGGCGTTATAAAGAATGGTCGCTAAATGGAGAGAAATAAAAGATATTACTTTACTATTCTATAATAATATGCTTTTACCAATATAGTACACATTTTGCACACGAACATTATTATTCATACATTGCGTATAGCCTGTTATCTTCGTCTGATGTTTTTTGCTACTCCAATCTTGAAGCCCTAATT